TACTGACCTTTACAAACAAGAATATTGGCCTTGACATTGGTTAACACTCCACTGATTTGTTCCCTGGCTGTTGACTCCTCATACTCAATAAAAGCTTCTGGGCCTGATTCTCCTCTCAGTATGCTGGCACTAGACTACTGTAAAGCTGATGTAAAGTGAGAAAAGGATCAGGCTCTCTGTCTCTAAAAATATACTAACAGAATATTGATAGAAACTCAACCAACACATATCAGAAACAAAATTACATTTTCTGGGTTTGCAAGACATACTTCTCAAATACCTTTCAGTGGAAGGGGAATCTCCACTAATTTTTTTTTTACCAACATTTCTTTGCAGTTTGCACAGAACTTGTTTTCCCATCTGCTATATATTTGAGAGAGTTTGTGTATTGGTCTGTCTGTCCTTCTGTGAGTCCATTTGCTCAAGAACTCCTCCTAAATGGTAAAAACTGGGACCACCAAATTTGGTATGCAGCTTCCTTTTATCTAACTTAAAGCATGACCAAGATTTGGTTACCAGGACAATGGGATGTGCATGAAATGCGATTTTTTCCCATTGAATGGAAAGTGATAACAGGGACAGTAGTACTCATGAATGACCACAGGGGGCAGTTTGCACAGGGGACAATTATATGACAGAATAAGCACAGAGGGCAGCAAGCATCCCAGCTCTGGAGAGAGCAGCCGCTGGCCTACAGTAAACCCCCGGGCATCCCAGTCTGCCCCAGAGAGCAGTTGCCAGCTGGTCACCCTGGCCACCCCCAGGGAGCAGCCATTGAGCAGGCTGCACATCTTCCTCCTCCATCCTGGGATGGCTCCAGGAGAAGCCAGCTGGTGGGCTGCCTGATTCCCCCCTGCCCTGGGTCAGCTCTGTGGAGCAGCTGCTCACCACCTTATCCCCTTCCTTGAGTTCCACACCTGCTCTCCTTAGCCCCCCACACCTCCTAACCCCTTGATTCCTGCACTCCCACTCTCTCCTCACTCCTGCACTCCCCACACCAACAGCCTCCTATCCTAAGCCCCCCACATCCTCAAGCTCCTGCCCTGACTCGTGCACCCCCTATGTCCTCTGCCCTGACGGACAGAAGCAACATTGCTTCAGTCTTCTAGTATATTATAAAATTATCATTAATTAATGACAAAATAATTAATGTTGGTCCTGTGTCAGAGAAGAAGATGCAGGGAGTCTACTCCATCTCTGGATAAAAGCTGGACAGATGGCATCCCTTGCAGTTCAGTGAGTGCAAAAATTGCACACAATTCATGTCTCACACAGATTATCTTTTTCTCAGCAGAAAATACATTCTGCATGAAATGTGCTGCAATTAAGCCTTTTCCCACCAGAGGGCTTCTGTGGCACCAGAACAGAGAGTAGCTCCAGCTGTGGAAAGGGAAGAAAAAGACTATTTCTCACACCCAAAGGGCTAGATCAGGAGGCACATGATATAGGGAGACGGACAGCATGGGACACATAGAGGGGGGTCACAGACTGGGGTTCAGAAGGGCTAGTGGAAGGAGACAGACTGGGATAGAGGTCTGTGGTGGTGCAGGAACACACAGGGACCAGGTGGGCCTGACTGAATAAGTGAGGCTATATGGACCAGTCAGAGTCTGCATGGGATAGATAGGCTCTAGGGATGTTAAATATTGGTTAACTGAATAATCGAGTAACCTCATGAAATTTTATCAGTTGACTAGTCTATAGTCCCTGAGGGTTGGGACCAGTAGACAGTATATCAGAGGCAGCAGTGTGGGGTTCCAGGCAGGAGCTGGTCTGCAAGGGGAGACAGTTTAAAAACCAGCTCCCCTTATGGAGCAGCTGCCTGTCACCCTGTGCTGCTGCCTCTGAGAAGGTGGCAGCAGTCCCTGTCCAGGGGAGGGCATCTGAGCTCCCGGTCTCAGCATGAGCCAGGACTGAGCTGGGCTGCCCGCCCGCCCTCCCAGCTCCTAATACATAAATGCAGAGCTGCAGCCGGGGTAGGTCCTGAACCCACCGCAAGCCAGGACTGAGCCAAGCTACTGGCCAGCCTACTAAAAAATTTACTGGCAAGGAGAGGGGGAGAGAGGAATGTGTGTAGTCTATAGCATTAAGCTATAAGCTTTTGCTTATCTGTTAATGGGTTAATCAACTACACTATTACATCCCTAATAGGCTCCCTAACAATCCCTCACCAAACAACCCCCCTCTCTCCACACACACTGTTCCATACTTCTCCCATCCACACCTAACAATCCTGCAAGTTCACACTCAGGCTTCTTCCCCCTTCCTCAGCTCCTTTGTTACCCCCTGACTCTCCCAAGCCTTTTCACTGCCTCTGAGGGGTACAGGAAATATATTTCTATACTGTAATTTAAATAAATTATCACTCAAAGTTCTGTATTAATATGACTAGTAAGTAATCTACTTGTCAAAAACATTTTCCTGAATCTTTTGTTGTCTGTATAGTTACAGACATACTTGCTGATAGCTATTTTGAAATAAATTACCCAAATAATTGATACTGCTGTGATTATATTGTGTTATTTTGACAAATAAAATAGATAGGATTTTAAAATAATGTGTACAGAATTTTTATTTTTTTGGCACAGAATCTCCCCAGGAGTAACAGAGCCAGTAAAGATGCCATTGCTAGCCTTTCAAAAATGAAGGGAATGGGGTAGAAAGAATGGCCCTGTCCTTTCCATGCCCCTGGGTGGATGTACAAGGGTGAAACAATTGCATTTTCTTCAAGGGTGACAGAGCTTAACCTGCTTTTCCCCCAAACTCCCTCAAGGAATGTTCCAATAAGTCCCAAACATTCCTCCTTTGGGCTCTTTGCCTCTTGGAGGTCTTCCAATGTTTGTAACTCCTGAGGGTTCATCCTGCTGTGCCAATGACTACCTTGCTGCTAAGCAATTTAGATAGAGAGATGCAGGGGTCTTGTTGCGAGAGTAGGGTGGGATCTGAGGCTACTGCTGCTGGGAAGCCAAAGCAACTATTGGGTAGGCATATGACCATTATAAATGATGGACTGAGTGCTGACAATGTGCTGCATGACACAACCATATAGAAACACAAGGTAACATTTTCAAAGACACTGACATTAGGAGTCTCTGTTCCATTTTAAAAAATGACTAGTCACCTAGAAGCAAGTGAGTAATAGACAGGGCAATGCCAGAGTGGATAACAAACAAGGCAATGCCAACTTGAAACCTAATTGATTTGTAAACGGAATTAAAAGTAGCTTAAAGTACCACACTTGCCATTCAACTTCCCTGTCAATTGTTGTGATTTTACAGTTACGTTTTCCCCATTTTAAAAATTTTTGTCCTCGCCTTTATCCTTCAGTGACACTCGCCCAAATAATAGGGGAAAGTCATTAACTAAACTGCCATACACAGGGTGCTATCAAATGCTCAGTTTGTTCTAACAACTTATATTCACAATCATTGCGCTGCTTGTGACAATCGCAGATTTAAAAAACAGACAGAAATATGACTCTTTGAGTTGATAGTCTCCCCCCACTACGACTGAAATTTGATCCAAGTGGTGAAGATTAAAACTCCACTTCTCACAACCCACAGCTCCAGAGGGGTTAGACTCAGTCAGATCCCACCTTAGAGGGGCAAGCAAGCAGCAGAGTGACTGAATTGTGAAGCAACTGGCTGGACAGGAAGGGGGGGGAGGTGGACAGTCAACAGTCAAAAAGCTGAATCATAAATAAAACTGCGGTTATATCTAACAAAGTGAATCATTTCATTGTCCTGCTGCTTCTTTTTAGTTACTGTTTTGCCGCTGTCTGGGAGGTTATTCGCCACCCATTTAAAGGCCAGTGCCCTGCATGCACAGACATGCAAATTGGGGCTGGGGCTGCAAGAGCCCACCTCCCGCCAGGCTCCTGGCTTCCCATCAGCTGGCTGGCTGGGAACACCTTTCTCTTCCTCGGGAAATTCCGCAGATGGTCTCCCCGGCGCCGCTCCTGCCTCTTCCCAAAGGCACGGGCATTCCCACTTCAACACGTAGCTGCGATGTGTGACTGCAAGAG